GATAGATAGATAGAGTAGATAGGTATGTAGGTGGATGGGTAGATAGATGATAGATAGATAAATAGATAGATAGATAAATAGATAGATAGATAGATAGATAGATAGATAGATAGACAGACAGACAGACAGACAGACGGGAGATAGATGGATGGGTGGATGATAGATGATAGAGATATAGAGATAATGGTAGAGAGATTAGATAGATAGATAGATAGATAGATAGATAGATAGATAGATAGATAGATAGATAGATAGAGTAGATAGGTATGTAGGTGGATAGATAGATAGAGTAGATAGGTATGTAGGTGGATGGGTAGATAGATAAATAGATAGATAGATAAATAGATAGATAGATAGACAGACAGACAGACAGACAGATAGATAGATAGATAGATAGAGTAGATAGGTATGTAGGTGGATGGGTAGATAGATGATAGATAGATAAATAGATAGAAAGATAGATAGATAGGTACGTAGGTGGATAGGTAGATAGATAGATGATAGATAGATAGGTAGGTAGGTAGGTAGGTAGGTAGATAAGTAGATAGGTAGGTAGGTAGTTGGGTAGGTAGGTAGATAGTAGCCAGGTAGGTAGATATAAGACAGACAGACAGGATAGGCAGATGACAGGTGAGAGAGAGATAGAGGAAGGGAGGGAGGAAGGGAGGGAGGAAGGAAGGAAGGAAGGTTGAGGGTGTCAACCTATTTTCCAAAGCCCCTGAGGGCAGGACAAGAAGCAACAGGTGGAAACCAATCAAGGAGAGAAGCAACCTGGAACTAAGGAGAAATTTCCTGACAGGGAGGACCAGTGGAAGTTTTTAAGAAGAAACTGGGAGTTGTGGGTGCACCAACACTGGAGGTTTTCAAGAACCGGACAGTTATGCCTGAGAGAGCATAATCTCTCCCGCTCAAGCCAGGGGGCTGGACTAGAAGGCCTCCAAGCTGCCGTCCAACTCTTGTTATTCTATGCCTTCCTGCCTTCTGGTAAGGCCACCACAAACCCTGCCACACTTCCTCCGTTAAACACAGCTGTTGCGTTGGGATGTAGTCCAGATTTGGAAGAGGGAGGGGCTCTCTGCCCGGGTGCAAAGAGACAGCTGGACTTGGATTTGTCTGGCGGGCCAGACAAGAGCAATTCACAGGGTGTTCCTGACCATTTTGCAAATGATTGCTCGAATCTGGCAAGATTCTGTCTGCAAGAGAGCAACGGTAAAGGAACCATGTAGTTCTGGACTTATCACAATTCGTTTAGCGGCAATTCGAAGTTACAATGGCACTGGAGAAAAGGACTTATGACCATGTTCACACAATCAAGACCTGAAATGGACACCTAACATCAAAAACGTCATCAAAAAAGCCCAACAAAGAATGTTCTTCCTGCACCAACTCAGGAAGTTCAAACTGCCCAAGGAGCTGCTGATCCAGTTCTACAGAGGAATGATGGAGTCGGTCATCTGCACCTCTATCACTGTCTGGTTTGGTTCTGCAACCCAACAGGACAGACACAGACTTCAGAGGATTATTAGGACTGCAGAAAAAGCAGTTACTACCAACCTGCCTTCCATGGAGGACCTGTATCCTGCACGAGTCAAAAAGAGGGCTGTGAAAATATCTAGAGACCCCTCACATCATGAACATAAATTGTTTCAGCTCCTACCCTCAAAACGGCACTATAGAGCCCTGCGCACCAGAACAATTAGACACAAGAACAGTTTTTTCCCGAATGCCATCACTCTTCTAAACAAATAATTCCCTCAACACTGTCCAACTATTTACAAAGTACCTTATGATTCTATTTGCTATTCTATTCTATTCTATTCTATTCTATTACTGTACCCTATGACTATTATTAAGTGTTGCACCTGATGATTCTTGTCTTTTGACGAATGTATCTTTTCTTTTATGTACACTGAGAGCATTTGCACCAAAGACAAATTCCTTGTGTGTCCAAAATCACATCTGACCAATAAAGAATTCTATTCTATTCTATTCTATCAAAATTCGGACACTTATTCACACTTATCCTTCCACTGCAACTCCCTACAATTAATCTCCCAAAATAAAGTCAAGAGAATTCTCGCTCCAAATAAGTGCATCCTTAACCTTTTTTTTTCTTTATTGTAAACGGGAGAGAATGGGAACAACGGCCACATTTC